CGTCACCATCGAGGTCATCGACATCGTCAGCCATGGTGCCGCCGAGAGCCAGCTGTGACCGCTTCGGATCTCTGCCGGAGCCAAATCCCTCTGCGGAAAGCGCTCCAACCATCTCCAATTCAGGTCCTGCAACAACGCGGCCTTCCATGTCAACCACCTCACATAGTTCAATCAAACTCTGTCTGCTCAGAGACTTGAAGCCATCGGTACGCACTACTCGGCCCCAGTTGCTGAGACAGAACTGGGCTGCACGGCGCATCAACCATTCTTCATTCGTCCTGCCGGCTCGCTCCCAGATGATGGCTGCATTCTCTACGTCCAGTTCGCGGCTTAACCGGTTAACACATAACACTCGTAACTTAGGCATGTCGTATAGGTTGGCCATAACGAGCATGCCCGCCACATCGACAATGTCAGAACAGTATTCTGGGTGACCTGAGATGCTATCAGTATACAGGTAGTGGACGAATGCACGGACGACCGAGTAAGGCTCGGGAATATGCATCTTCTTCGAATGATATTCGACCATTTGAGCAGAATACAGCCTTTTGAAATGGGGCCATCTTAGTTGTAATATAATCCGATGCACATGGATTGGTGGGGAAGTGGTCGCGTTAGGAGGTAGAAATGCAGGCTGAGCTTGGGAAGAAGCATCCTCTCCAAGCTCATCTTCGTCTACCTGATCGTCTGCGTTGGCCGTGATAATAAAGTCGGCACCACTACCTGTCTCAGGCGCTTGATCAAAGACCGCCGACAGGTCCGCACCAAGCCCAGATAAGGGCGCTACCCCCGATCGTTCCGAAAGTAGTGCTCTGCCTTGGTCGGGCGAGGCGGCCGTTATCTCATTGCCAAGTAAGCCGTACCTTTCCAGGTCAATGCAAAGAACTTCGCTCATGTGGTTCTCATCAGCGGTTCCAGGAGTGGCGCCGGCATCCGAACTGCTGCCTAATAGCCACGCCTTGGTGCCACTCGCATCGACTGTACAGTAATGCCACCTATAACCCGATTTAAATATTTCCTGTCCATCGGCCAGTCTCTGCCAGCGTAGCGAGTCAAGTTCCAATGACGACAGATTACAGTCAAAAATACGCACTGTCTCCGATGGAGTGATCAAGTCGAGCAGAACACCAGACGCATAGGCTTGGAAGTGGGTCCCAGAGAACAGCGCAGGTACGTGAGGACCAGATTTGAACTGAAGACACGAGATGGCACCCGGAGCGATCGGCTTCCGTCGATTTGAATTGCGAACTTGGACACTCCCCGAGTTTGCTGCGTAGCTACCGGACCGTCCCGAGAGCTGTTGTGTTGGACTATTGAACATTGTTTCTGGGCTATGAGTACTCCTGCCGATTGTCGCGGGGGTGTCTACGGTACCTTGCGATGTTGTCATTCCAAGAGATTGGATGTCTTTGAGATCAAGCCACCAGATATCTGTCGTACGTTCCATACCCGGGTCAAGGCCTCCAAAAGTCCACAAGCGACCGCCCCAAACCCAGGCAGTATGATCGAAGCGGGCTGTAAATTTCCAGGTCCGAGACCATGTCCATGTTTTCAGATCGAGATAAGTCAAGTCATCAAGGATTTTGTTATCTCCAGTTACACCTCCTAAGACAAAAAGCTTGTCATCGTAAATGACGGCAGCGTGGCGGGCCCTTCCTCGCGGTATTGGTCCACGGATTTCCGGTTGAGTCCAAGTGGAAGTGGTGACATCGAGAATGACCACATCGGAAAGATATTCGCGATGCTCATTCTCTCCGCCGAAGACGATCAATTTGGTCCCTTGATAGAGAGTGGCAGTATGTCCTAGTCATTTAGCACGGCTCAGTTAGTTCGATTCTCCAAAAATAGCTGAATGCTGATGTGGTCAGGTTTTAAATACCCATGCGAACTCCTGGGATATCGCCATAGTTGTCCACAAGTTCCCAGCGAAGATCTTTAAGGTTCAGCCTCAGAACGTGGTTGTATACTAGTGCATTCACATGATTAGTTAGTATAAGATGCGATTTATGCATATCAGATGATAGGGTCTCTTATAAACCTTCATCAGTATACTGATCGAACCCGCCAAAGGCGTAGATCTGATCGTTGTTGCAATACGTCACAGATGCATTGACCAGACATGCTGGAATATGACCTTGAGCCTTTTTTATGCTCGGGCGGTAGTCCGTGCTACCGCGGCGACCGCCGGCTACACTAGGGGGCATGAGGAATGCGTGGTGCGGTGTGTGATGATCAGAGGACAGGGAAGTCATCGGAAATGAGACTCTAGGCGCCCCGGTCCAGGACTGTGGGTCTCCGTGGGACTGCGTGAATGCCGCGGATGCAAAGGAAGCGTTACTATTCCGAGTAGGAGTGGAGAGCGGTTGCCGCGCCATCAGAGCCACCCAGAAAGGAGAGAGTAGTGGCACCGCTCCACAGATGTGAGAAAAGGCGTGTAATGGAATGCTTGACTGTGTTCGAATACAAATAATAAGACCTTTGCTACATGTTATACCAAATAATGCCAAGGAGTACGAAGAGACTTGACATCGGGAAGAGAGAATGTGACTAAAAAATCTAAAAAAGAAAAAAAGGTTGGAAAAAGTGAAAGCCGCCAAGACGATCGTCACGAGAGCCGCATGGCAGACGGGACTAGCCGTACTAGGATTAGCGCACCCGTACCTCAGGTAACCGTTGCCATGGGAGAAAAGAACTATACCCTCTATTTATTCCCCTATCCCTCAAGTCTTCCGATTCAGATTCCTTCTTCTCCTCCCATCTTCTTTGGTTTCCTTGCTATCTCATATTTCTTGCATAGTATATTGCTCATACTTGCTGTTTTTCAGTACATTACTGTACATCTTAAGTCATAATCTCGGCTGAAGGTCATTGGGTGACCGCATTGCCTTGACCTTACTTCTTCAAGGTTACTTCTTCGGTGCCCTGGTGGCATAATCCTATTCGAATATGGCTACTCCTACGGTGTCGACTCCGGTCAAAACCCACCATGGAATCTTCTCTTCAAAGACCGCTGGAGGTCGCATGCCTCTTACACCTTCTCCACGTATGCGAGCGGGAAGCATGACATCGAATCACTCTTCACCATTCACTCCTCCTCGTCAGCAGGAAGGCGCCAAGGACCATGGAAAGTCTGTCTACGGGGGAAACTTGTCCTCGTACTTTGCCAAGTCCATGTCCAGGGCAACCCGGAACTACCGCGAGTCTCCCAAGTCTAACATTGCTCGGATTCGCAAGTCGCCTAAACACCTAGAAATGGGTGTCTCGGAGTGGGCTTTAGCTGGTACTGGTCCCTCGTCATCACAGTCTCCGACGTCCAAGGAACGAGTACGGAAAGAGGTCCCGACACGTACGACGAGATCTGGGAAGACCACTGTTCGCATTGCACACAATGCTGGTGACAGATTCATTCCCAACCGGACCGCCAGTGAGGGACTGGCAACTGCTGGCACTGCAAAGCCCGAGGAGAGCCAACGATCCAAGTCTAATGGCAATGAGGGCTCTACCGTCCTTGCAAGTGCCGCGAGCGCGTTCGACATCGGTGGTCGAGGAACGGAAGACGATATCACCGCGGCTCTTGAGAACCTCGGCCTCGAGGATAGCGAGACTTCCTCAACATCATCGTCTTCATCGTATACCAGACCCGCCCCAGATGCTGTTGCCTACGAATCGTCGTTGGCTGATGCGTGCGGTGTAAACCTGAATACTCGAATTCTTGCTTTCAAGCCACCGCCACCGGAATCCTCCAAGCCAATTGACTTGCGTGCTCAGTACAATCGTCCTCTCAGGCCTGCTAAGTCTAAGTCTGCACAGTTTCGCAGAAGGGTTCAAACTGCCCCCGAGCGTGTTCTGGATGCACCTGGACTTCTGGATGATTACTATCTTAATCTCCTGGATTGGAGCTCTGGTAACCAGGTTGCCATCGGCCTTGAGCGTAATGTTTACGTGTGGTCGGCAGACACAGGATCCGTTAGCTGCTTACTGGAGTCGTCTCCGGATACCTATATCAGTAGTGTCAAGTGGAGTGGCGATGGAGCCTATGTTGGTGTGGGCTTGGGCACTGGCGAGGTTCAGATCTGGGATGTCGAGGAGGGTACTAAGCTGCGAAGTATGTTCGGCCATGACTCTCGTGTTGGTGTCATGGGCTGGTCTAAGCACACCTTGTCTACCGGCGCTCGCAGCGGCCTTGTGTTCAACCACGATGTCCGCATCGCTCAGCACAAGGTAGCCGAGCTTGTATCTCATACCTCTGAAGTCTGTGGCCTCGAGTGGAGACCCGATGGTGCCCAGTTGGCTACCGGCGGCAATGACAACTTGGTGAACATCTGGGATGCTCGGTCTCTCAGTGCACCCAAGTTCACCAAGACCAACCACCGGGCTGCCGTTAAAGCTCTCAGCTGGTGTCCCTGGCAACTGAACTTGCTTGCCACCGGTGGTGGATCATACGATCGCCATATTCACTTCTGGAACACCACTACAGGTGCCCGTACCAACAGTATTGATACAGGTTCCCAGGTCACCAGCCTGCGGTGGAGCAACCACTACCGGGAGATTGTTAGCTCCAGTGGTTTCCCCGATAACTCTCTGAGCATCTGGAGTTACCCCACTCTGGTCCGCAACATTGAGATCCCAGCACACGAGACTCGTGTTCTGCACAGTTGTTTGAGTCCTGATGGTCAGCTTCTGGCCACTGCGGCAGCGGACGAGAGCTTGAAATTCTGGAAGGTCTTTGAACGCAAGCCAGGAACTAGTGCATCGGCATCGCGTGAGGGTGGAGTTGGAAGCAAGGCTCAAATGACTAAATCCATGACTATCCGCTAATTTTGTCGCGTTGTTCTCTTGTATATCTGTTTCGGTTTTCATTGGGTTGGGTATATCACTGGGGAGTTGGATCACACTTGGTTGGCGTTACTTTAGCTGGAGGAGTACTGTATTTAGGCGAGACGGTATATTTGGGTTAAGCTTCTTGTATAGCACATTCTTAGAATTGATGACAAACTATCATTTAATACCCTCTTGACATTGGACAATTGACTGATTATATATAGGACAGACGGTCAATCGATAGGGACAGTTTAGGTACTACTTAGTACTTACGATTAATGTAAAAATCGTGACTCCGTACTTTAAAGATAAGCTCCAAAAGGGCCGATGGCGCTAACTTAGTGAGGGTGCGGGTGGTGACTAAGCAGGATGAGGACGGATTTCGCCCGAAGACTACGACTTTCACCTCATTCAAATCCCTCTCAGGCACGCCTGTCCCTGCGCTCCTTGCCAACAACCTTCGTTTTCCTCGGCGGTTTGACGAAAGATCTTAGGTATCACATAGCTAGGTCGCATACGATTGTCGGTCAAGTCCTGAGCTATCGAAGCAGGCCCGAACTTGACTGTTGGAGGTTACCGTCGCATTAGTTCGTGGCAACCGACCGCTGCGACGGAAACACCCTGCCCTGGTGATAAGCCAACGACAACACATCCACATTACCCGCCGGACGTGATAGGCCCGCACGTTTGCTTTTTCGTCGAGAAAGGAGAGACCGAGTTGATTACCTGATTTGACAAGGCTTGTCTACGAAGTTCTGTCCCAGCGACTATGTCCAACCAGCAGGTGGTGAGTGCTATCTGACAGAGCCCTACCTTGCCTGAGCTGGGAGACCCTAGGAAGGATTAGCAGATAATTTCTCTTTTCGTTGGCTAGCTTCCCCCAGTGAGGGTCTGTCTCTGTAAAAGGATATTGGCTTATACCAAATGATTGATAGGGCACGGTGTTCGATCGTGTCATCCAAGAAGTCTGCGATGGTTCTCAGGTAGATTTCGAGGAGAGCGGAGTGGACCAGCAGACATTGCTAGATTTGAGGAAGGTGAGTTAGACAGAAATTCGATAATCTGAGATGTTTTCTTTGATGGATTTCCTGGTGAAAATGCCAATGAAGGGGCAACCGATGTTGGCTTCGATGGCCCTCGGCCAAACGCGGGGTCCGAGAGTTGCGGGAGGCGGCAAAGCCTCTGGGGAGCGCCAGCCTTTTGAGTCCCTTTATACTCCTCCCCTTTTACCCGCGGGAGCCTAAGGCTGCCAAGCCCTCTCTCATCGTCCGTCTCATCTATTTGATGATCAATATAGTTCGGGCTTACCCTTTGTCTACCTTCGCCTCATTTTACATGGGCTTATTTATACTTTTTCTTTTATTCTTATTTCCTCACTCAACTCAGAAGTTTTCTTTTCCCTGTTCCACAATCTAACTAAATCTTCTACTTCGACAGAGCTGGCAGAAAAAACTCTCGTCCCTGGGTGTCGCTCATTTCCCTTGGGACCCTCCACCACCTCAGCCAGCCCCTCCTCAGCCTCAGAACCAGAATCAAATCCTTCCCCCTAGTGCGACCGTACCCTCTAATGCTCCACGACCCGCTCCTCCTCAAAACCCTCAACAACATGTTCCCCCTCCGCAGTCAATGCCTCAGTCAATGCCTGGCACCGCGCCTCCGTTACAAGTCCCCACACCGGTCGGGGCAGCACCTAATGCCATGGGCCAAGCGCCACACATCAAGACGGAGCCTGGAATGAATGGCCAAACCAGCTTGCCCCCTATGAGTAACATGATGCCTACGAACACTTCAAATGCCCAGTCGGCGCGAGAACGTGCTGCCAACATGCTACACCAGAGATACGGCGCGGCCGCTGCCAACTCGGTCAGTCAGTTGCAAGCCCAGTCGCAAGCTGCCATGACAATGCCAGGACAGGCCCGTCCCCAAAATTTACCACATGTACCGAATGGACAGGCGCCACATATCAAGCAAGAACCAGGTTACCCTCCTGTTTCTCAACCCCCCTTGAATAACACACAAACAGACGGTGCCAGTGACGATGCACTGTCAGCATGGAAAGCAGAGGTTGCGCGAAGGCGTGAGGCTGCTGAACGTCAGAATGGGGAAGGCGACAGGGTTCTCCGTGAGCATCTGAAACAGCGCATGCTTCAGCTTGAGGGAGGAGGCCTTCTGTTGCCATTGGAGGAGCGCCAGGATTCATCAGGAGCACCTACCCGTGAACTTGCGACAGACGCCGCGGTCCCTTCGGACTCAAGCACCTCGGTATCGTCTTCCTCTAAAGTAGTCCGAGCTCAATATGACGGCCCGGGAGGTGATGATGAGAGAGATGAAGACGATGAAGATGCCATCAACTCTGACCTCGATGATCCGGATGACCTCGTTGCTGATGACCATGAAGCGGAAGATGCCGTCGGCCAAGTCATGCTCTGCACGTACGACAAGGTCCAGAGGGTGAAGAACAAGTGGAAGTGTACCTTGAAGGACGGTATTCTGACGACTGGTGGCAAAGAGTAAGTTCCATAGAAGCACTTGAAGTAATGCGACAAGCTTGCTGACTTTAATAGATATGTCTTCCACAAAGGTCAGGGCGAATTCGAGTGGTAGGTCCCCAGTGTTCCTGTCCACCCATAGCCACACTGTCTGAAAATCCGGGTTCCCTTTTCTTTCTTTTCATTTGTCTTAGCCATGTTCATTCATCTTCCCAATCTGTAAAAACCTTCTCCTATTTGTCTACCATTTTCAACCAAGGCAAATCACAGTACGGACACACGATGACACCCAAGGGTAGTCGGTGCAAACGGAAATAACCCTCTCAATGATTCTTTTTTATGAAGTACATCAGGACGTTTGCGGCACGAGACTTCATTCTTCTTCATGTTACCCTTAGTTTGGATGCACATGGCGCTTTATGCAGGGGATGGCTATTTTCTTTTCTTCTTTGGTGTACTAGAATAATTCTACTTTCAAATGGGATTTTTGCTTTGTTGTCGCTACATCGTGACCAGGTCAGCTGAGCTATGGAATACATGCTTCGTCCTTACCTCACTATTGAACCTTGCATGGAACAAGTAGGGAATGATGTAGATCCTCCTCCTTCAGCGTAAAATTTAGTTCTCTATGCATTTCAATATGTGAATGCATAATGATTACCGTGGCGGTATCATATTCGAAATCAAATGGGACAGGTGTTTTTTTTTAACGCAATTCACCCCAGCCAGTAAGTATCATTGATTATACTCAGCCGATAGCGGAGTATGTCAACCGTTAAAATAGTCTGGAAATGAGACCGATCTCGCCAGGAATGTTAGTGGCTTTCGGCCCTTGGCTAACTACTACTATTCGTATACTACGATGGGCTTTATCGTGTCGAAGCAATCATCAGAATATCCTTCAAAGTATAAGCAAAATGAGTAGAGGTTAATGCTTTTACTTGAATATAAAACGGTGAAGGAGAGAGAGTAACTTCAATTCGAAGGGAGCATAGTTTATCATTTAACAAGCGTGACAAGGCAGCCAAAAGCAATATTTTCCAAACTTTTTTCCTTTTCGCAGAACAAAACGAAGCCATGGGAATCAAGCAAATCAAGAGGACTCTATCAAGAAAGAACAAGCCAAGAGGGGTCAACGCATATCAAGAAAAAGTTATAGCCCCAGTTTCTCCGTAAACACCACCAGCACAGGTAAAATCAACAAGAAAGCAAGATCTGGTCTGGAACCATTATCTACAGGATCGACGCCGGTATGCCATTTTCTTTCCTTCTTTCTCCCACAGTACTCGGGTAATGGTGTCCAGATGTTTGAAGAGGAATGGCGAAGGACACATCAAAACCGGCCGAGTACCAACTTTGTTTGATCCCCGTATTTGCCTTGTTTTGAGAGCAAAAACGCAACCTCGCCAAGTATACGAAGCCAAAGATCGACAAAGTCCATCATTAATGAGAATCACGGGGGAAAAGAGGATGAAAGGTAATTGAGACACCGGATTCTGCTTCCCAAAGCTCAACCATGCC